ATATATAATATATATATATATATATATATATATATATATATATATATATATATATATAATTGCGCTAGAAGCTTCTTATAGGAAAACTTACATATCATCAACATTGGTATCTTTTAAAATTTGGCAGTAATCAACATTCCAAACAGCCTGATCATCCCAGACTTTTGATGCAAGCATAATAGCTCCTAATACTACTCGCCGCCAGTTTGACGGGCACAAATCCATTTCAGCGTAATTCAGCAACCGTTCCACATATACCTGACAATAAATCAGGTAAAATGAATTCAGTTCGACCTATTTATGCTTGAACAAAATCATGTAAAAGCAATGAAATACTGAACAAAGTACCAAAGTGATTATTGCGCACTCTGCTGTTAATTGAGCAGCATGGAAAAGAGTCCTGACAAAACGATAGATTTGTCGATGATCTGGATCTCTCGATACCATTTCGATTGGAATCGGATCTCTCTGAAATTACTGTGCTTCAAGGAAACCCAAAACAAACAATCATTTGAGGAAATGTGTCACAACGCACTTCTGATTTCTTCTACACTTGTAATGAGGATTTCAAAGAGCGCTGTAAGTCTAGATGGGTATCATTCGAGCTTAAACATGTCTGCCGTAGCCATCCGTTTCATAACAATAAAATATCCAAAATTTCATGATATCTAAATAACCTCTCAGTTCATAGAAATATGAAGCACGATTTTTTCGATTCACAATATGATAATATATGGCTTTATATTATCATATTAGAATCAAACTTTAACATCATATTTTTAGCACGATTCATATTTCCTTAATTTCGAAAACATCATCATGTAATCTGACAACAAATGAGAAAAAATACCTTACCGTGATTGGATGAAGCCGTTCTTCAAAAATTTCCATCAACCGCTCATGAGCTCGATTTTTTCGGTTTACGATATGATAATATATAGCCAATGAAATGCACTTTATCGTATTTTTCAAGTTTGGCTGTGAAATCGTCGAGTCGTCGAGAAATATCGTCGAACAACTATTCGACTTTTGTAGTGGTGACATTATGGTGGTCAAGCTTTGCGCATCCAGGACATAGAACGAACGACGGTTATCCTTCACTAAATCCTTCAGATTACAACCAAACACTCTTTTAGAACCGAAATAATTTCATCCATAGGTAAATTCCAGCCACTTTTGGAAATTTTAATTACAATGCTTCCAACCGTCAAATGTTTTCACTTGACTTTCTAAGTCCGAAGTCATCAGGAGACATTATTCAAGCTTTATGATATGAGATATTAATCTTCATGTATGCTCCACATTAAAAAGATTGTGTGAAGTTTTATTTTTTTGTATTCAAAAACAGATGGAAAGATCAGAAAAGAAGCTACTACAAGTGAAAAGTAGAACCTGTTTATATCAGGCAAGTAATTTAGACATCAATGGCAATTGTATAAAATATACTGCTATTAAGGCCAAAATCAAATCTTTTAATAGAAATTAAACAGCAACCAAGGCTCCAAGGATCAAAGCTAACTTCAAGAATTTTATATAAGACTTAAATAACAGGAAGCAACTATAACAATTTTGCGAACTAACGTTTCATTTCACTTCGGCTTCGTTCCATAAATATTGGTTTAACCATCGGCTGCGTTGATGGGTCTTCACCAATCTCTTAAAATCAGGATCTCTGCTTTATCACCATAGTATTTTTTCATCAGCTTACGAAAAAAAAGTGAAACGTTCAGAAATCAATTCCAAAAGGAATATTCACTTACCGTCAGGCAGCTCCCTTTCACTAATATGAGGAAGAAAATTGGTTGAAGTGTCCTCTCTCGGAAATGTCTGATTCACATACTAAAACAGTAGTTTTTATTATCCACTTGTATGTTTAAAAAATTTTCCCCAAAGCAAACAAAAATAATAGAAGTTTTGACAGGCAAATCTGGAGCTGTCACTCTTAGTTTTTCACCCAAAATCGAAAATCTGTGTCTTTTTGCATTGTTATCGAGAAATTTGATACGTAGAAAGAATGAACAGTTCTCGGTTTTGAGCACAGTTTGTGATCGGGAAATTCCCATAGAAATGACGAATGTGAGCCTAACCTCTTTTTCCTTATATGTCAAATCCCGCTATGTAATGTATTCAAAAATAAATTTAATAACGACAGTTTAATTTCACAATGAAGTATATCTAAACAATCATAAAATCTCTAAGAAATTTTCTGTAATTATTCCTGGAAATGAGGATGATTTTAACAATTCCCTTCTCATGCGTTTCATTGATAATGAAAATGATTTGCTTGAAAAAAAAAAGAATTCCTTAGAGAAGAGAGAAATATGCGGTGGTGCTCTTACGTTGACAACACTTCGAGTAACCTTTAGTCACATCGTAATGCCACTATGGTATTTCTATCAGACTGAAAAAAACTAACTTCGTGATTAGCCTGTTGCCTTACATCGTACATCACCTCTTTGCTTCGTGCAGCAGATGAGGAGTCTTGCAGACAGCATAGCGCATTCCCCATCAGACTCGTGATTTAGTGGAATCCAATGCTAATGCCGAGTCATTTTTCTTGTCATGTCTCCTTTATCACCCTTAATAAATGAGTCATCTGCCATCTGATTAGTTATTGTTCTCTTTATGAATGAATGCTCATTCAAAAGAATAAAACTGGAAGACTTTTTCTTTTGAACTTTTATAGCAAACATGAACACAACTAAAGATTTTCTATATCCGCAATCGGATAGTTAACGATATTATGTTTTATCCAAAAAGCATAGTTTTGTGGCAAAATAGGAGTCTCTTATATGAAAACAGAAGCATCACTACCAGTCTACCCCAAACAACACACCCGTACATTCCCGAGATCAATCCAAAAACCCTACCTTACCATAGTATAGCACATCGAACTTTTTCATTGTTGTCTTGGTTTCATTAAATTACGGGGACGCGATTTAGGATAACCAAAGAGCATGTGGAACTGCAGCGCACTTCATTCAACGGTGAGGGCGGGGATGAATTCATTTAGGTTGCATGTTGCGTTATTTGGTGGTATAATGACTCGTTTGCAGAAATAGGCATTGAGATGTTTAGGAAAAATAAAAAGTCAAATATGGATTACAAGGTAGAGATACTTGTTGTGAATGGTAGTCCGAGCCCAGCGTATATACCGTACCATATTGATGTCGATCGTAAGCGCAAAGTTATTTTTTTCAAAAAGAAGTTAAAGACTGCTGGGCATTGATTATTTAGCTTATTCTTTAATTGGATTCATTGGAATAATAGTATGAACCCCACTGTCTTGGGAATCGCCATTCACTAGTGTATCGAAAAGTCTAAGTTATTCCATTTATAAAAAGTCAAACCGTAAATGGCTGGTTCGGTTTACCATTATTTTATGCTCCTTAACAGGTTATTTGTCGTCTTTGGTTTTTTTCGTCTTTTTCTTGTTAACAAATTGGCCGTTGTTCTGGTACCCCTTGGAATATGTTATATAACCTTACTGTTTCCCTGTTTCACATTGATTGCATAACATTATTATGATACTGTAATATGTGTTGAGGGAAAACAAATTTGTCAAGTGCACTTTTATAACTTGCAGTATAGTGCAAAATATATCGTTTTGTACTACGTTACTTTAATAATCTGCATTATTTGTAATTAATTTTTGGCTTACTGCTCGACGTTTTAAATCATTCAGATTCAAAATGATGAGTGATGGGAAAGACGTGCCTAAAGATAGCCGAAACCATCGTGGGGTTGAAGAAGGTATGATGGTTGTGGAAGCAGAAGGCGAGATGCACGATGATCACTGGGTATTAGATGATCGCATGAAGCGAATGATTATGGACTTGCAAAGACATTGGTTGACAGATTATCAGCAGTCCAGGGAAAAGTTATTGGTTGAAATGACTGAACGGGTAAATCTCAATCCCATTTTTTGTAGTAGGATCTGTTCTCATATAGAAAATAGAAGCAAAGTGTAACTAAAGCGGCTGTTTCGAAGAGGAAGATAGGTTTCAGTTGATTTCATTTGTTAACTCAGTAAACCGTATTCGGAAATGGTCGTGCTTACTATACGATAAGTAATTGTTTTGTCTCAGAAAGCTTGCAAGCTTGCGGAGCTTAATGCTCACCTCATGAACTCGTCGTTTATCTTACAGTGACAAGTATCCTTTTTGGTAGGGACATTTAATAAAGGTCATTTTATCTTTTAAATAAATTAACAATGATCGTATTAGGAAGAACACACTTGACGAAGAATTTATCTGTTAAATTTACGTTTTTCAGCTCCATCAGGAATTTCTTTCTGATCAGCAAAAGATTAGGACCGAACTTCTTACGCAGTTCAAAGACGAACTAGATACCACGAGGTTAATGATTATTTGAACTTGAACCTCCAGTAACATATTCTTAGTAAATATGTGGAGCTTTTTCTAGTAAAACTATAATTTCTTGCTGCAGAGCTGAATTGGAGGAAAAATATCGCGAATCTTTGAAAGTTGAATTGGGCAAAATGGCTGAAAAACATAGAAAGGAAATATCAAGTATCAAGAAAAAACAGTGGTAACTTTTCTTCTCTTTGTATTTTATTATAAAATATGATTGCAAGGATGATTCATGACTATTTTTTTCAGTTGCAAATTCAATGACAGAAATGAAAACTTTTGATATTTCTTACTGCATTGTGTTCAAGTGTAAGAAAATGTAGCGATACGTAAAAAATTCAAGAAAAAGGTTGGGGAGGGTGACTTTCGGAACTGAATGCTTTGTCCTGTTCAGTTTTTTGAATAGGATTATGTGGTAATAACCTAATTGTTTAAATTAAAGGTGTTGGCAATGCGAAGCGGAAGCGATTTATCACTGTTGTTGGAACACAGCTTATTGCAGTGTGGAATGCCAGCAAAGTCACTGGGCAACCCATCGGAAGTTTTGTCGACGTAAGAAGCAGAATGCCAATACTCATCAACAGCAACAACAGCAACAGCAAAAGAACAATTAATTAGTTTATGAAGTAGCATTTTAAAAACAGGATTTTATCTCTTTATTTATGCTTAGGTGATCGTAAGGATCTCAAGACAGTGCTTGGCTTGTAAATCTTTTTTTATCAGTATTTACTCTTTAAACTCTCTCCCTTTCTCTTCGTTTTGTTTAACTAAATTGCTTCGGAAATGGAAATGAAAATTTCGTTATCTGCCCAGTTTAATACAGCTAGCTGGACTCCTGCTACGTCACTAATCGTCTTTTGAGGGTTAATTTAGGAGATAGAGTTTAATGAGGGGAATAATCCGGTACCTTTTGTTATAATTAATTTCTTGAGCATTACCTGATGGGTCTGTGGCGCTAACCTATAGGCACTGATTGGTTATACATTTGTACAGGTTACTAATTATCTGTTGTACAGTATACTGTATAACGCAGTGTTGTGTTTCAAGTATCGTGCTCTCCTTCGGCTTCTTTAGTTATTGAAGTTCTGTAAGAAAATCATCATGAAAGTGTTGGTTTTGATTATATTCTCGTCATCAATTTCAGTACTGAGAAGGAAGTTGTTCTTAAATATATTTCTGTGGTTATCTTTTTAAGTCTTGATAACTGACTCTTATATTCATAATAAAGCTGAAGATCATCGTTGTAGCACCATCGTCATTCGATATTATTTCAGTGGTGATATCACTATTATCAAATTAACTAATGGCTTTGTGAAGGCGGTTTGTACCAAAAACATCACTTTTGTGAAGTCCTCACATTTGGAGAAAGAGATTTGGAAGCTAGGGGATACAAAACTGGTGATCGGACTGATGATGAGATTTTTAGTGACCTGTATGTTTCAGTGAACTGGACTGGATTCATAAAGATGCCGAGGCGGGTTGCAGTTGTTTTTTCCTGATTCTGATAGTATTTTCAGAAAATATTATATGAGGCGAATTGTTTACAAAAAGGAGACCACACTGAGAGGTCGTAGATGTGGTACTCCCAATCTGTCGAAGAAGGAAACACTAAAGGCATGGGAAACGACGACATTTCTGCGACCGCTTAATCAAGTGGGGTGAATTTGTAGTTATCTAGGTTCTTGTTTTCAATTTGGATTAGTTTGACTTTTTTACATACTTATTAGGTAATAATTAATGTAAGATGTCTTGCAGAGGGTATTAGAAGATGCTTAGGAGAGCACGCATTTGTGCTTTGCTAGGGAACTTTTACGTTGTTCTGTCACATTGCTACACTTGTTTCATATATTTGATGATGTGCATGCTTGTTCTGTTCTCATTTTTTACTGGTTTGTGCATTTTGCGACATTGCAGAAACAGTAGAAAATTCCATTCACACGAAACTTTTGAAAAATTCTGGTCAGCATTCGATTGTATTTGAAAAAGAATGTCACCTGGACACGCAACTATTTTCTACTGCACTAGATTTGACACAGAGTTGTGTGCAACTGTGAGATGATCACATAAGGTTAAAAGCTTCTAGTGCTTTGATACTAGAATTCAATAAAAGTCTCTAGTGTTTTGATACTATTGACCATTGACATTAACCATTGCTACTTCTTTTATATGGATATGAATGAATGCAGGAGAGATTGCATGTGGCCCATTTCCATTTCATAACCTTGTACTTCAAATTCCCAGTCGTGATTAGAAATGATTATTCTTGAATTTTTCTGACCAAATCACTTTTATTCAAGGATGTAACGCGAATATTTCCTAAGAAAGCTAGACCTACTACAGTTATTAGCGACGAGTTGTCGCGTTACGAATTTACGTGGGACAGTGACTCGAAAAAGACTGTTTCACATGGAGGGAAAATTTACCAATGCTTTTAAAGAATTTCAAGCTGCGGAAGAAGAGCTAGCAAAGTTGTGGGTTGCTTTGAGCAACGCTAAACGAACGACGGTCGAGGTTTTACATGTGGAAAATACGGTATTTCTAGTTGTTTGGTAACATAGAGAATAGTTTTTCAAGCTTTTGTCTATCAGAATCCTTGTCTCATTGGGATTACGACATGCACTTTTTATGTTTTATTGTTTTACTCAGACAGTGGCTTTATTTTAATCGTATTGAGGAAGAAACGGAAAAAATCAAATTTTTGACTGGCCAGAAACAAAGAAATGATCCGTTACTGGAAAAGTATAATGTGAGTCCGAATTTTGAGCTTGTGCAGATTTATCGGATGAGCTAATTCCTGAAGAAATTATTTTTGAAAATAAAGATGAAGTTATGAATCACTCTTATACCGCATAATTTTCCTTAGATTAGTCGTTAATTAAAGTTTAAAAAACACTACAATGTCTTTTGTGAAATATAAATGATATGTTTGACAAGGTAAGGGGTTAGCATTACTGTTGCATTTAGATTTGTGCAGTTACGTCGCGTTGTCTTTTTGTTGTTGCTGAAGTTTGCTTCACATCTTACTACGCTGTTCTGCTCGATCCAAACCTTTGACACTCAAAAGGATCGAATCATAAAAAAATTGCGGGCATTTAGACAGATGTATTAAGGAAGCATTTATAAACTCATTCATGTTATGCTGAGGATGAGCTGTATACATTTCAGAGCGAAGTGTCGTCTGCGGAGCATAATTTAAGCAAAGATTTTGGAAAATTGGTTGATGAACTCTAGGAAGAGAAAGTGCCGTTGAATTTGACTTTAAAAAAGAGTAAAGCAGAAGAATCAAGAGTTGTATTTGAGAATAGACACTTGAAAGTGATTATTGAGGTAAAATGTTCGTGTATTAATTATTTCATTTATATATTTGTTGGGTATTCACTATAAACTGATTATAGGAAGAATGCAAAGAATGAAATCAAATGCAGAAAGACATATTGGTTGCCGTAAAAGGAGCGAATGATTTCAAAATGGAAGCATAGAAGGAGATGTTAAAATTATCGGAAAGGATCGCAAAACTACAAAGACAACAACAAAGTGCCGCATTTATTGCTCCTCAAGGAACGTCTGTGGCCATGTGTGGAAAAAATTTTTCGAGCTGGGAAGATAAAGCTTAACAAAGATTGATGCTTGGTTATGAGCGTGGTTTGTCTTTTCCTATATTGCATTTCTTTTTACCATATTATTTTCTAAAAACTGTTTATGTATTTTTTCAGGTTCACGTCGTAATACTCTTCTTCGATGGTGTCAGAAAGCGGTTGCTAAATTTTTACGTGTCGAAATCACCAATTTTAGCAAGAGTTGGGCAGATGGCAGAGCTCTATGCTGCTTATTGGCTTCTTTTTATCCTAATAAGCTCAACATCGGTGTTAGTTTTCCTTTATAATTTCATATTTTGTATAAACTAACATATACTTGGATTTTTCAATAAAAATGTAAAACACACCGATATAATTAAAACAAAGCTTTTTAACTCATTAATTCAACTCATCAAATCACTGACACATGAGTATGCTTTATTTTAGGAAATCTGTTCTCTGGAAGCAGAAGAATGCTTGAAGCTGGCTCTCAGTGTTGGAACTGATATAGGTGTAGAAGTGGAGGTAAAAGTGACTGACTTTAAGAAGGAAGATCGCCCAGAATGTTCTCTCGTTATGAGGTACTATGTTATTCAACTTGTATTATGTTATTATAACTTGTACTATGTTATTTTGGATGGTTCTGGTTGTTGAATAGCTTTTTTATCATTCCTTCACTTTTTTGGTATTCATTTATAATTTTCGTTGCCAAATTTTGCCCAGTTTTGCCTGTGTTGTGATTTTACAGAATAATCCTGATGCAGAGAGTACTTGCTCATTCAATACTGACTTCAGGCAAAATATTTGCTATTCAGTAGTGCTCTCAAATCGAGGAAGTATTCGAACCGGAGCAAGCGACATACTGTTTGAAAATGTTGATTTTATTCTTTCAAGAGACAAACTGATCAGAGTTAGTCGATGTAATTAATCTTGTTATTTTCATTGTGCGAGTTGTAAATATGGCGATATTTCATCGTTTCTGGTTTATTGATAATTTATAATATTGATATAAAATATTTTTACTACACCTTGCTTTCTTTTATATCTTCAAGTTTCTGGAAGAATATACTCTTTTCTTTGTAAAATAGAAAATTTTGACACTGAGGTCGAAATTACTTTTAAAAGGGTTAACTCTCTTGAAGCTATTCGCAGTCTTGTCAGTTATTTTGCTTGACAAATATCTGTTATCATAATTCTCTATAATTAGAACTGTTCATTCGTGTAATTCTTCAAAGGAACGAAATAATGATAAATGGATTTGTTCACTAGTTATTAAAATTCTTTTTTACTAAGTTCGAGGAAAATGTTAGTAGCTTGATTTAGCAAAAGTTTTTTTTTGTTGTGGAATTAATTTCTTTGATCTTAAGAAGTTGGTTATTCCTGCAACCACGAAAAAACAAACTGGCTTAGATTTTTCCCGGCCATAGGAGGCCATGTTATATCATAATAAGACTATGGTCGAGTTATTATTTTTGTCGATTCTTGATGAAATTAAGAATTGTCAAGTAAGGAAACTGTTGCATTTGTTTCATCTGTTATTCATGTCTTACTGGGAAAAGTAGATTTCTTTTTGAAGTTTTTGCTTTCACTGTATTGCTGCAGAACAAATATGTGAAAAAATGTCCATAGCAACTGAATCTGGCCACACAGTAGGACTTGGTGATTTGATTAGCGGCAAATCTACATTTGTAAAGCCAATCTTCAGTTATACGATATAGAGTCCGGAAAAGTCACATCTAAGAAATGTTTTTTTAACGGTTAGTGTCTCTAGGCATTTTTGCAGTTTGTTTCTGACTGTTAGTCTCTTCCGGACTTTATGTGTCTCCTTTTTGAATGTCAGCAGGTTGGGATTGATATGCAATAATGTAGATGTTTTTAAAAATTTACTCATCTACTTATTCTTCATTCCATGTCTTAATCTTATCTGAACTGAAGAATGCTCTGAGGTTTGCCGTATTGCTGAGAGTATTTCGAAAAAGATCTCTAAGTTGTATAATATTTCCTAAAAATGATTGGTTAAAATACGGTAATTCAGTATATATATATATATATATATATAGCTAAATGGATGACATCACCCCTTCAGTATTCATAATTTCGGAAGAAATGATACTGTTTCGGATTGTAAGATAATTTAGTTGTTTCGCATGGCAAAACGAAGGAAATAAAAACTTCAAAGACTTGATTTTCCGAAGAATTGAAAGCAAGACGAACAAGTTACATGAAACGAAGAAGCGGGTTCAGAGAATTTGCTTCCAATCGTTCACATCAACAATTCATCACTTCTTCGTCAGTCTCTCAAAAAGCGAACTGCATGGGAATAATCCAACTACGGTGGTCGGTCCGATAGTCTTTACTAGTGGGATGATGACCTAAATCTGGGCTCTGTTCTCCCTCTCTCCCTCTATTTCCATCTATTTTATATTTTCCCATAATTACCTCTCCCTTGCTCCCACTATTTCATGTTGAATCATCGCTAGTGAAATATATCATTTGGTAAATAGTTGTAAAGCGACAAATGTTCTTCACAATAACGTCACAATCTTTCGAAGTGTAATATTTCGAAATTTTCTGAACCTATTCGATTATCTATGAAATTTAAACCTTCCTTTATACCTGGTGAAACTGTATTATCCTTGATAGAGTGGCTATTCCATCGATACAGCGAGAGAATGTTCTCCTTCCCATTTTTCTAACGGTCGTCTTCAACATGCACGGTTCTGATTAAGGATTAATTTAAAATGAAATCTAACCTTAAATATCGGAGAATAAATGAATAAACATTACATTTATAACGATCAGTCCTGCTCCCTTCCACTATTCACAATCTCGAAGTCACACTTACCTCGGGTTCAGTGATAATTTAGCTGCTTTGCATCAATTACACGACCAAAAAATAACAGCAAATTGGAAAATAAATTTGAAAACTTCCACTCTACACTTATTCTTTTTTCAGTTTTTTCAAAAGATTCAAAGATAAATAAGTTGAGCGAAAGAGTGAATTATCCATTTCACTATTATCTGATTACATTTTGTGCTCATAGTTGCATCGCTGTTGCAAAAATGTTTGCGCTGGATAGTTTTGAACTGTATAGGAACAACTTATCCGGTCTTTACACCGACTACAAATATCGGTACCTATATATTTACTTTTTATATCTAAAATTGTTTGGCCGTTAGGCCTTTTAGAGAGAGCACTTGCAAAATGTTCTCCATATCTGTAATTCTACCCTTACCTTTTAAGGTATACCTAAAGAATGACAACTGGGACGAGAGAAGACTTGCAAGCAATCCCAGAGGGCGTAAATTATTCTACTCTGTTTCTCCTTAATTACAGGTATGCATTACCATTCGAAAAAATGGTTGATCCGATTGAGAAAACGATATCCTTCCAAAAAAATTGGATCCAAACGGTCGCAGTTTCGATAGGTTACTTCTTTATCATTAAGCTGATCCAGTACTCCATGAACTATCGATCTGCTTTCAAACTACGCTGGCCTTTATTCATTTGGAATCTTTCACTCGCTCTCTTTAACATTTTTGGCTTCATTCGTTTTGGCGAAGCAAGTTGTTACTATTTTCCGTTCAAATTATTCCTTTAATTTGTGCACACTTTACGATATTATCCGCTATCACTGCCTACTGTAGTTGTTACTAACATCTCTCAATGAACAGTAACATTTCTCTAACCTAACTTTCAGGATATGATCCATACGCTACTGTACGAGGGTGTCTATCGATCCTTGTGCTACTCGGTAAATCCCACTGATGTCGCTGCTTACTGGTCGTATTTATTTTTCTTGTCAAAAATCGTGGAGCTTGGAGATACACTATTTATCGTCCTAAGAAAGAAACCTCTCATTTTTTTGCATTATTACCATCACACTTCAGTACTTATTTATTCTGCCCATTCGGGTAAGTAACTATGCCTGGTTGTTATCTCTTGCGAATCTCTGAGAACTTTCCCACATTGAAGTTATTTTTCACTTGTGACCAGTGTAAGTTGGGGACATGGAAGACAACTTTCCCTATAGGGCCAGCAATTTCGAAACACATCCTATTTGCTGAATTATAGGCGCTGAAAATACGGGCTCCGGAAAAGCGCTTATTCTGATGAATTTTCTGGCACATTCTGCCATGTACACATATTTCGCAGTTGCATCTTATGGAAAACGACCGCCTAAGTAAGGATTTACCAAATATAAGCAATGTTTCTCTTGGAGTACTTTTTGGGTCCTTTTTTCCATTGCGTCCACATTCTTACGTCACTTCTTTCACCAGCGTGTTTAAAAATCCTCCAAAATAATTTGGATTTCCGAGTTTCCGAGAGATTAGATTTTCGAGAGATTTTTTTGTTTTTCACACACTTCGTAGTGCACGTTTCAGAACAATATCCATGACACTGACTACGATCCAGACAGTTCAGATGTTTGTGGGAATCGGCGTCCTAGCCTACGTTTATAAAATCAAAACTGGGACCAATTTGCCGTATGTTCCCACTGTGTTTGTCCACCTATTTTGAGTGATTGTAATAATCGTTAAAATTCCCTTCGTCCACAACATTTTCCACATTCCTTTCCTGAAGGAGAGACACCTGGGCACTTCGGACATTTGTATAAGCTGCTTCCCCATTAATAATCGCAGTGTATGTAACCAAAATATTCACTGAGTAGGATGAAGGTAACGATCAATGCTAGTTCAAGAAGACTTTAATCTTCAAGAAGACTTTAATGAAATTTATTTCAGGTGCCAACAATCAATGCAGAATCTTCTCTTTGGTGCTTTGCTCTATGTCACTTTCGCGGTACTTTTTATCCACTACTTTATTTCCAAATACCTCCGTAAATCTGATAAAAAGGTAAAGGACCAGTAATCTTCAGCTTCTTTTCAAACATTACACCTTTTTGTATTTTGAAACGAATTCGGTAGAGTCCCTGCATCCCATTAAAATGTTTAAATAAAAATGCTGTTCAGTTTAATAGATATATGCAAACAATTTCACAGCACAATGCACCACTGCGAAACCCGCGACTTTGTCCATTTGTTCCATTTTAACACAACACGTTTCATTATTGTTTCCTTTCTCGACAAAGCCGAAAAAATACAGTTAGTTGCTTTACTTTGAATATTCCTCAGAAAATGATTTACTACACAAAATGTTTCGATACCTAAAGTGATGAATCAGTTATCCAACCCTTCAATTTTTTAACCAATTTTAATTGCAATGTTTAAATATTGCAAAAAAAACTTTGTTGTAAATTCCTTCCAATTGTTAACAAAGGATAAGTGCATTGTCGAAATGTTCTATGCAATTTTGGCCTAATAATTAATCTTACATCAGTCGAAATCGTAAAGAACCTTTAGTCTGGTAATTAAGCTAATGTGTGTCTGGGGCGTCAAACAACCTCCACTTTATAAAAAGCTAGGATCAATAATTCGGGCTAAGTTATTCACTTAACTCATTGGACAAACAGCGCCCGTTCATCCATTCACTCAGCTGCATTCAATACTCTTCAATATCTCATCCAAGAAGAATATTTCTCCCATCAATCAACACACCTTTATCACAACTACTCCATGCTAATCACCAAAAATGACTTTATTACCAAACATAAAAATATTCCACGACACCTTTACTGTTTATTTTGAACTTTTAAGGACATAGAAGTAGAATAAAGAGTCACATATAAACTTCACAAGCGGATCAGTGACAAGCACGAAAAAGGAATCCCACAGTACAAGCATTCTGTGCGATGAAGGGATTCATGATCTGTGGTTCCCTTTTTTGCTCGATAAGAAGCACTCCAGCTGCT